TCTGTATGGAATACAGCATTATGCCCTACACTGAAACTTCTGGTCAGTATGTTTTTCTTTCTATGAATCAAGTCAGGTATGACATTGAAGTCAATGAATGTAAAATCCATGGTGATTTTGTTTTCATATGATAGTTTAAGGGAGACACATGCAAGAAAGTAAACAGGATTTTTGTTGCACATTGACTATGACTGATATGCATACGCATTCCCAGAACATTACTTGTAATAGAATAGAATAGAATAATACTTTAATGCCTTTTCAGGAATTTGTGTTAAATCAGCAGAGCTACTGACACATTAGAGAGATACCAAACATATTTACATAAATTCTTTGATTTAGGTATCTTCACATTTGTTTAAGAGAGATATGGTACTTGGAATAAAGGATGTACGGGCTCTCTTAGTTTTCACAATTGGAACTTTGTAGTGGTGGCCTGAAGGGAGGAGGTTGTATTCCGAATTTAAGTAGTGAGTAAGTTTAGATATGATATAATGCCTGTGAAAGTCTTAGGACCCCCTACAATTGTCTGACAGACAAATACTACCAAACACCCAAACAGCTTGTTTATTATAATGATCTCAAAACACGAAATATATTAAGGTTAGCAGAAAATATGTGAGATTCAGCCATAAAGAAGGACTTGTGAGAGATGATGAAACAATTGTTTGGTAGTAAACACCACCCATGACTGACCAGTGGACAGTGGAAACTTGTCCATATACTGGCTGGGAGAGATTCGAACTTTTCTGGAAGAAATTTCATATGTTCCTAATCACTATTCGGTGTTTTTTTCTAGGACAGTCACTAGAATATTGGCCTTCAGTAACCCATGCTTGTCGTAAGAGGCGACTAACGGGATCAGGTGGCAGGCTCGCTCACTTGGTTGACACATGTCACCGGTTCCCAATTGCGCAGATCGGTGCTCATGCTGTTGATCACTGAATTGTCTGGTCCAAACTCGATTATTTACAGACCGCCGCCATGTAGCTGGAATATTGCTGAGTGCGGTGTAAAACTAAACTCACTCACTCACTCACTCACTCACTTATTAAATACATACTACTCCAAGGAAGCAGTGACAAATATCATAAAATAAGGAGCACCTGTTCCATTTTCATATGACTTAAGTTAATATGTCTTTCCCCTTACAAAGGTTCTAAATTCTTGTGTTTGTGTGATATTGTTTTTTAGGTACAAGTTTATGGAAGGAATCTTCAAATAAAGTAAACTCAATGTTTTCAACATCCTGAAGAATCTTTCAAAGTGTTTCACATTATTGAATGGAAAGCATTAAAACCGACAGAATAGCCATTAAAATCAACTGAAAAATAACAAAAACAGTTTGATCAATGTTAAAATGGCCCCAGTATTGACATGTACAAAAAGGTGACTCTTTGTGAGGTAACTTGGCTATTGACCCACACTTTGATTGCATGGTGGAAACATAGAAAAAGATGCAGACGCTGCACATGTTTTGTAAATTACGGAGTCCTTCGCCGAGTGAGGTGCATTCATTACCTTTACCTCTGTCATTAAGGATGGATGACAGCGAGAGTCGGGGTAATGCTCATGCTAAGCTATAGATCCTGCGTGCAGTTATTGAATTATCACAGGAATTGTTGGAAGGTTATTTTTCTTTAATTTAATTTATCTTGTGCCTTGTGTGAGTAACACCAAATCAATATCTCACAAGCTTCATTCATTGCGCACTTCGTTGTAAATTACTAAATTTCCAACAAGATGAGCATGCAAAAATAAATATTTTCTCCTTTTCGGTGAATTATGTTTGGAAAATAAGACACTTTGTCACATGTTTAATACTTTTTTCGTATCGAAGTGTTATTGTATTTCTTTTGACTGTAAATGATCAATAATATTCTTGCAGTCATTGGTATTTACCTCACAACTATTTATGGTGGGCTGTAAAGTGAGATATTCATTGGTACAAGTAAATGTTCTGAAGCAAATGAGATTGGCGACAGTTCTTATTTAATTAGGCAGTTTATGTGTCTCCAGAGTATAATTTTGAATAATAATTCCTCTTATTTTCTTTATTATTTCCTAAGGACAATAAATGATGTTCTGCTTTTTAAGCATTTATAAAAAATTGACCAATTGAGACACAGTTAATGATTCATTCCATTATCGGCTGAGACATTGGAGAAAATGTAAACGTTTTTCTCCATGGGTAAATGTCAAAGAAGCAATAATAATAGTTCTCTTCATGGTGATATAACCAGTTTTCTTCTGAAGTCGGCGCCAAACCAATATGTTGAGACATGTGAATGGCCTACATCCATTGGATTGGATGTATATATATATTGGATGTTGACATTAGTTGTGTTGGCTAAAGCCATTCTTCTTCTCAACAATACTTTCCATAGTATATCTGAAATGCATATGTCAAAGTTATTTTTTTGCCCTTTTCAGCTTGTCTGAAATACTCCTGAAAATTATTTCGTGCAATATTTGTTGATCATAAAAGATTTCTTCAATGAATAGCATAATATGTAATCCCGACCGAATTGCTCCCTAGTTTCCAGGAAATTAGAATATGTCTATTATGGTGATCATTTGGGCACAATGTCTGATGAGTGTGGAGAGTACATTGTATTGGATAAGGAATGGTGACCACAGCTTTTACCAGGGAAGAGTGACAATGAGGATGATATATCAATGTCTAAGAGTCTCATTGGCCCAGATCTGTACTCATGCCAATGATTATCAGACAGGACGTAAAGCTGCATATCCATGAAGATCTGGTTTAGATTTTGTCTTCAGCAACCCATGCGTGTCGTTAGAGGCGACTAACGGGATCAGGTGGTCAGGCTCGCTGACTTGGATGACACATGTCATTGTATCCTAACTGTGTAGATCGATGCTCATGCTGTTGATCATTGTATTGTCTGATTGAGATTATTTACAGACCACCGCCATATAGCTGGAATATTGCAAAGTGTGACAAAAAACAAACACACCAATATGAAGCTGCAATTTAAGTCGGTCAGTCACTTTGTAATGATAATGCACAATGCAGAGAACAATTGCGTAGATTGATGCTCATGATGTTTATCGCTGGATTGTCTGGTCCAGACTTGATTATTTACAGACCGTCTCCATAAAGCTGGAATATTGCTGAGTGCGGCATTAAACAACAACGAACCATTGCAGAGAAACTTAAAAATTAGAAATTGTAAAATTCTGTGATTTGATTAGTCCCCTGATTATAAAATAGCTGTAAATATTTAAAATTTATGTTCAATTTCAATAAAAAGTCTACAATAATGTAATCTATATTTAAAACCCCTTAATTATGTTCTATCAGTATTGTGGGGCGGTGGGGTAGCCTAATGGTTAAAGAGTTGGCTTGTCACGCCGAAGGCCCGGGTTTGAATCCCCACATGGGTACAATGTGTTAAGCCCATTTCTGGTGTCCCCCGCCGTGATGTTGCTGGAATATTGCTAAAAGCGGCGTAAAACCAAACTCAATCAGTCAGTCTATCAGTATTGTTTTTTATTCTGTCACTTAGTTCAAGTACCACCTGATGATGATTCGGATTAAGACAAAGAAAAGGCCAACTCAGCTGTAAACATCCAAAATAGGATTGTATTTTCTCACCTCCCAGACATGACATTCCTAAAGTAGACAGCTTTAACAACATTCACGCACAAACGTATGCCTTCTGAAAACAACATATTTCTTTAAAGTTTCACACCATTCGGCTTCTTATACTTTTTGAATGAGTTATGATTGTGCAAACTGCATCAGATTTTGAAGAGGTCTCCATTTTCAATTATTTTTGCCATACTTTTCCTTTCAATGTTATGTTATCATTGAGATGTTTAAATTGAGGATCTCAGGGTTTTAGATAATAGGTGACAGGCTTCAAAACTTCATTAGTCTTTGAGTTTGTGCTGTTGGGAACAATGATAAGTTGTTTCCATGGCCATATCAGTGTAAGCAGAGTCAGTGAACATTTGACATTGAAAGTTGAGGTTCATGGCAACCCCATTGATTTCTTGGTTATGGATATGTGGTATCGAGTCTACTTGCCTAACTTCCCCTTGGTAAACACCATGCCACAGATTAGAGCTGTTACGATTCACTCACGTAATCGGTGAATCCACGGTTGAACCCTTCAAGAATTCAGTTCATCGCTTGAAAACAAGAACCGAATATTCATGAACTGTTGAAAGAGGAGTGTTTTTAATTGAATTTGTTATTTATCAAAGCATGATAGGCAAAATGGAATGTATCCAAGCCAGGCAGGATAATATTGAATAGTTCCATATATTTAATGTGACAGTGATGTGGTCACTGGTCATTGTGAACACTGAGCACATGGTCAAAACATGTTAAAGAATGGATTTTGTTATTCATTTTGATTTCAATAAATATATTGACTAATACATCCACTGCTGACTTGTATTTGTTATCCAGTATTCGTCATTTGTATCCTAGGGGCAGTGGGGTAGCTTGTCACGCTGAAGACCGGTGTAGCAGGCCATTTCTTCCCCGGTCTAAACTTTCCCCGGGGAGAATCTGACCTAGGCCAAACTTTCCCTGGGGAGGTTTTGTCCTAGGATATTCTTACCCTGGGGAAAGTTTGGGCTAGACTAAAGTCTCTTTACGTTGTTAACTGCTGAATTTTAGGTGTACTATTTTACTGTTATTAATATAATTATGTTACTATTCACAACAGGGCAGGGTGTCCATATTTTAAGGTGAAAGATATTGATCACATCAAAATGTGTGAAGTCCATTTTTGGTGTTCCCAACCATGATCTTGCTGGAATATTGCTAAAAGTGGCATTAATCCTTATTCACAGGTTGCTGTGATAAAGCTGTATGTTGTTGACCTAGGCGATAAAAGTCAAATAAAACATTTCTACGATTTGCAACTGGATTGTAAGTTCCAGTCACTATTACTGATTTCGCCTTTAATTTACCATGATACAGTTTCAGCAATACTAAGAAGCTGGCTTCTATTTTCCAGGTGACAGATTTTGCCTGGTCTCATGATGGGCGGATGGCTCTGATCTGTTACCGGGATGGCTTTGTGTTGGTGGGATCAGTTGCAGGACAGCGGTACTGGTCATCCATGTTGAACCTGGACAACACCTCAATATCATGTGGTGTCTGGTCACCTGATGATCAGAAGGTAGGGTTGGGGTATAACGTCATGTGGTGTATCTGGTCACCCCTGATGATCAGAAGGTAGGGTTGGGGTATAACGTCATGAGGTGTGTTTGGCCTTCAGGTGATCAGAAGGAAGGGTTGGTGTATGATGTCATGATGAGTGTCAGACCTCAAGATGATCAGAAGGAAGGGTTGGGGTATCACATCATGAGGTGTGTTTGGCCTCCAGATGATCAGAAGGTAGGGTTCAGGTGTCACGTCATGAGGTGTGTTTGGCTTCCTGATGATCTGAAGGTAGGGTTGGTGTATCACGTCATGAGGTGTGTTTGACCTCCAGATGATCAGAAGGTAGGGTTCAGGTATCACGTCATGAGGTGTGTTTGGCCTCCTGATGATCAGAAGGTAGGGTTGGTGTATCATGTCATGAGGTGTGTTTGGCCTCCTGATGATCAGAAGGTAGGGTTGGTGTATCACGTCATGAGGTGTGTTTGGCCTCCTGATGATCAGAAGGTATGGTTGGGGTATAACGTCATGATGTGTGTTTGTATGATGATCAGAAGGTAGGGTTCAGGTATCACGTCATGAGATGTCAGAAGGTAGGGTTGGTGGCCTTCCTGATGATCAGAAGGTAGGGTTGGGGTATAACGTGTTTGGCCTCCATGAGGTGTGTTTGGCCTCCCTGCCTCCTGATGATCAGAAGGTAGGGTTGGGGTATAACGTCATGAGGTGTGTTTGGCTTCCTGATGATCAGAAGGTAGGGTTGGGGTATAACGTCATGATGTGTGTCAGACCTCCAGATGACCAGAAGGAAGGGTTGGGGTATGATGTCATGATGTGTGTTTGACCTCCAGATGATTAGAAGGTAGGGTTCAGGTATCACGTCATGAGTTGTGTTTGGCCTCCTGATGATCAGAAGGTAGGGTTGGTGTATCACGTCATGAGGTGTGTTTGGCTTCCTGATGATCAGAAGGTAGGGTTGGTGTATCATGTCATGAGGTGTGTTTGGCTTCCTGATGATCAGAAGGTAGGGTTCAGGTATCACGTCATGAGGTGTGTTTGGCCTCCTGATGATCAGAAGGTAGGGTTCGGGTATCACGTCATGAGGTCAGTTTAGCCTCCTGATGATCAGAATGTAGGGTTGGTGTATCATGTCATGAGGTGTGTTTGGCTTCCTGATGATCAGAAGGTAGGGTTGGTGTATCGTGTCATGATGTGTGTCAGACCTCCAGATGATCAGAAGGTAGGGTTGGGGTATCACATCATGAGGCTTGTTTGGCCTCCAGATGATCAGAAGGAAGGGTTGGTGTATGGTGTCATGATGTGTGTTTGGCCTCCTGATGATCTGAAGGTAGGGTTGGTGTATCATGTCATGAGGTTTGTTTGGCTTCCTGATGATCAGAAGGTAGGGTTCAGGTATCACGTCATGAGGTGTGTTTGGCCTCCTGATGATCAGAAGGTAGGGTTCGGGTATCACGTCATGAGGTCAGTTTAGCCTCCTGATGATCAGAATGTAGGGTTGGTGTATCATGTCATGAGGTGTGTTTGGCTTCCTGATGATCAGAAGGTAGGGTTGGTGTATCGTGTCATGATGTGTGTCAGACCTCTAGATGATCAGAAGGTAGGGTTGGGGTATCACATCATGAGGCTTGTTTGGCCTCCAGATGATCAGAAGGAAGGGTTGGTGTATGGTGTCATGATGTGTGTTTGGCCTCCTGATGATCTGAAGGTAGGGTTGGTGTATCATGTCATGAGGTTTGTTTGGCCTCCTGATGATCAGAAGGTAGGGTTGGTGTATCACGTCATGAGGTGTGTTTGGCTTCCTGATGATCAGAAGGTAGGGTTGGTGTATCATGTCATGAGGTGTGTTTGGCTTCCTGATGATCGGAAGGAAGGGTTTGGGTATCACATCATGAGGTGTGTTTGGCTTCCTGACGATCAGAAGGAAGGGTTGGGGTATCACATCATGAGGCTTTGTTTGGCCTCCAGATGATCAGGAGGAAGGGTTGGTGTATGGTGTCATGATGTGTGTTTGACCTCCAGATGATCAGAAAGTAGGGTTGGTGTATCATGTCATGAGGTTTGTTTGGCCTCCTGATGATCAGAAGGTAGGGTTGATGTATCATGTCATGAGGTGTGTTTGGCTTCCAGATGATCAGAAGGAAGGGTTGGTGTATCATGTCATGAGGTGTGTTTGGCCTCCAGATGATCAGAAGGAAGGGTTGGTGTATCATGTCATGAGGTGTGTTTGGCTTCCTGATGATCAGAAGGTAGGGTTGGTGTATCATGTCATGAGGTGTGTTTGGCTTCCTGATGATCAGAAGGTAGGGTTGGTGTATCATGTCATGATGTGTGTCAGACCTCCAGATGATCAGAAGGTAGGGTTGGGGTATCACATCATGAGGCTTGTTTGGCCTCCAGATGATCAGAAGGAAGGGTTGGGGTATGGTGTCATGATGTGTGTTTGACCTCCTGATGATCAGAAGGTAGGGTTGGTGTATCATGTCATGATGTGTGTTTGGCCTCCAGATGATCAGAAGGTAGGGTTGGTGTATCATGTCATGATGTGTGTTTGGCCTCCAGATGATCAGAAGGTAGGGTTGGGGTATCACTAAGTATGTAATCATGAAATCATCTTTTAAGGATTTATGTTAATCAATAAAATAAAGGTTGAGAGAGAAATGTAAATATGTTTCTCTGTTGCTCCTTTCTGTAATTTAATATGCCAATTGTAAATAGGCAAGCTCCTCTAAGTTGTAATAACTTCTGCTCACAATTCTTCATGTGAATTAATATGTTCTAAGTGTGCATCCTCCATTTTCAGGTAATGTTTGGTACCACCGATGGCCAGATCATAGTGATGAGCTCAACTGGTGCGATGATATCCCAAGTGACAGTGCATGATGGCATGGAGATTTCTTCCATGGCTTGGTCATGTGAAAGATTTAACATGGAGGAAGCTGAAAGTTCTGAAGACTCCACAAGAAACACAGAGGGTGAGAGCTTGACTTGTTTAAATGTAAATAAGTCGTAATATTATCAATGTCTCCTTCTTTCAGGGGCGGTGGGGTAGCCTAGTGGTTAAAGCGTTCGCTCGTCATGCCGAAGACCAGGGTTCGATTCCCCACATGGGCACAATGTGTGAAGCCCATTTTCAGTGTCCCCCGCCGTGATATTGCTGGAATATTGCTGGAATATTGCTAAAAGCAGCATAAAACTAAACTCACTCATTCACTCCTGTCAGAATCACTTTTGTACTGCATTTCTAAAACCCAATTAACAATGAACCTAATAGCCCATGGTACTGTACAAAAATGCATGTTTCCAAGACATGAAAACAGTCATCCTTTGGTTGTTTGATCCAGGCGCTATTTCAGCAAAACAAAACAACCTTTCAGAAACTATTATCTTATCCATATTGCAAAAATTAAACTGTCTAAAGCACTGATCCAGACAAAAAAATATATCTGGCATTCTCAAATGGACTTCAGTTTTTGTTTAAGTCCCTTCAGTTTTTGTCCAGATATTTTGTCCAAATATTCCCAATATTGATATCAAATTTGAATGTATCTTCAGAATCTTATTTTAGAATTGTTTTTGTCTCATTGCCATTTGTCTGGCAGTGGATCTTTTCTTGTTCCTTATTCTCACATTTCAGGGTTTTTAATTTAGCAGTTCGGTTCTGTAAGTGACAAGGATGATGCTCCTTAAATACTGTACAGTAGATTTATTACAGTTTTTGTTGAAAGGATTTCCTAACCCAGACAGATAAATAATACCATAACTATCAGAGAAAATGTTAGAGAATTCCTGTAACAGGAGCAGCATCTTGCTGTTTAAGTGCAAGTAGGTTTAGTGCCACTTTAGCAATATTCCAGCAGTATCATAGCAGAGGACTCCAGAAAGGGGCTTTCACAAATAGTACCCATGTGGGAATCAAACCCAGGCCATCAGGTAGATGAGCAAACTCCTTAACCACTAAAAACATTAGCTTAGGAATAATAGTTTTGGTAAAAGAGAGGTTTTAGTGTTCGGCAGAATTATTGCAGATACATTAGCCATATTGTCAACCAGAATCGGATCCACTCACAGTCAATAGGCTCTATGTATAGATTCAGCAGATTACACTACCAGCTCTGTAACTGGAACCAATTCTTTGTCTGTGTGTGTGACTCAATGTCTGTCTGCATGGTAGACCAGCAGGCATTTTGATCAAGTAGAAAACAAGCCCTGCTGTAAGACACACCTCATTATTTCCTCGTTACCATCGCGTCATGCTGCCCTTCCCGGGTTGACAGGCAGACTGGTGTGTGAGTGAGTGAATCTTGATTTAACACAAATAGGTTAGTTGATATATACCAGTGGTCTATATTGATGGCCCAGTCCCTTATACTAACAGTATTCAAAATTAAGATGTCTGTGAAGATCATCGCTAGAATTGGTTCCGGCAGCCCAGTCTAGTAGGAGATGTCTGAATCAGCCAGACGGTCGGATTTGCTGACTGCATGTCATTGTGTGCCATGTTCGTAGTTTGATGCTGATGGTGTCATTCACAGGACTTTCTTTTGTAGGTCTTTATGGACTGCCTTCATATAGCTGAAATATAGCTGAAATATTGCTGAAATATTGCTGAGTTTGGTGTCAAAACTAAGGGACCTCTTCATATTTGTCATGTTAAAATAGCTTGAGACTTAGCGTCTAATACTATGAGGGCAGGTGGACTGATCCAATAAGTCGGAAAAAACGGTAAACTCCCATAAGAACTACAGGGTGATAAAAACTGAAAAAAGTGAAAACAAAACAAGCTTGTGTTCTTAACTTTTGTATTTTGCAAAAGCCCTTGAAATACAATACTATTGTCTTAACAGTGTTTTGTTTACACTGTAGTTCTTGTGGGAGTAGTTGCTTCATTGGGCAGAACTCATTATCCACAATAGGGGTGACACTGTTGTCATAACACGTCCCATGTATCTCTTTTGAGGTGTAGTTCTTATGGCATGTAGTTCTTATGGAGGATAACCAACCTCAAGGACCCCAGAACCCTCCGCCCGGAGAGCTGAAGGTCGCGGGTTCGATCCCCGACCGCGTCATACTAAAAGACGTTAAAATATGGTACTTGTTGGTCCCTGCCTGGCGCTCGGCATTAATGGGTACAACAAGGACTGGTCGGCTCGGAGTCAGTATAATGTGTCTGAGTGGGGTATTCATGCTTCACTGCGGCATGGTATCTCAGTGAGCTAGCACTATAAAACCAGCTTCAGTCTGGGCTAGTACAAGCAGCCGCACATACACATACACACGCATGCACGTCGTCATATGAGTGAAATATTCTCAAGTACGACGTAAAACCCAATTTCACCTCACCTCACCTCACCTCACCAGAACCCACCCTAATTTCTATCACTGTGTCTATGTTTTAAAAGCTGCTTAGAAACAGGATGGGGATGGTTCTAATGAGTGACAACTGATTGTCAGTGTTGGCATGAACCATTGGTTTGCCTGATCCTTTGGTGCCACTGAGTGAGTGATGGAGAGAGTTTTCTTAAATTCAATAGTTTTCATGGTAATAGCAGACTAGGGATGCCACGATACATTGATGCATCAATAATTTTTCTAAGGTGATACAATTATCGATACATTAAAAGCTGTATCCATATTTAGTTTTGAAAGTATCGGTTTAAATATGTTTATGTATTGTTTACATGTTGCAACTGTATCATGTTTTTATGTTATGAGAGTCATGCACAAAGATGGGAAATTAGAACCTTTTAGTCTCTGAGAATCGGAAGTGTTGATCTTGTCATGGACAATTATAAAATATGAAATATTAATGTTCAAAATGTAACTAAATTTAACTAAAATAATTATCGTGATATCTATCGAATCGTGACATGGGTATCGTGATATGTATAGCTTCATGAAACTTATGTATCGGGACATCCCTATAGCAGACTAATTTCAAACGACTCAGGCTGTCGACATATCACTTTTTCTGTGTTTAGTGGTTAGAATTTGTCCCAAACACACTCTACCTGTCCAAAATTGATGTTTAACACCACCACACTCAGCAATATTTCGGCTATATGGTGATGGTCTGAAAATAGTCAAGTATGGACCAGACAATCCAGTACTTGACACCATGAGCACTGATCTACACAATTGGGATACAATGATGTGTCAACCAAGTCAGCAGGCCTGCTCACCTCATCCCTTTAGTCGCCTCTTACAACAAGCATGAGCATCAATCTACAGAATTGGGATACAATGACGTGTCAACCAAGTCAGCAAGCCTGCTCACCTCATCCCTTTAGTCGCCTCTTACAACAAGCATGAGCATCAATCTACAGAATTGGGATACAATGACGTGTCAACCAAGTCAGCAAGCCTGCTCACCTCATCCCGTTAGTTAGCTGAATGTTCTGACTCAGATGTTCAGACCATATGATTGCATGTAATTGCATCCTGACAGTATGGGACATCACTCATGATTTGAATCACCGGTTTATCTAGTCAACCTCAATTATTCACATACTCTTTATCAATCTTGAAATATTTTATGTTTTTCTTCTGAATTGGTTGACTCTGAAGGTCATCACTTATAAAATGCATGCTAACCCCTTATTACCTCGACCGCCTCCGTGGTGTAGTGGTTAGAAGCGTCCGCCAGGAGAGCGGAAGGTCGCGGGTTCGATCCCCGACCGCGTCAAAGACGTTAAAATATGGTACTTGTTGGTCCCTGCCTGACGCTCGGCATTAATGGGTACAACAAGGACTGGTCGGCTCGGAGTCAGTATAATGTGTCTGAGTGGGGTATTCATGCTTCAGCTCTGTGGCATGGTATCTCAGTGGGCTAGCACTATAAAACCAAGCTTAAGTCTGGGTTAGTACAAGCAGCTGCACATACACATACACACGCATGACAGAAATGGGCTTCACACATTGTACCCATGTGGTGAATCGAACCCAGGTCTTCAGCATGACATTATATCTGTGATAATCTAGTTGCTTTACTGTCGTTGACAGGTTTTTAAAATTTACGTTCAATTACTATAAATCCATAATTTGATTTGGTCACGATATGGCTAAAATAATGCTGATGTGACTTAAAATCTTAACTCACTCACTCACTCTTCGGCATGACAGCAAACGCTTTAACCACTAGATTAACCCACCGGCCCTGAAACCATTGAGAAAGTAGAAATGATAAAAAATTTCTTTGTGATTTGAATGTTTTAACATCACTTTCTTTTGAAGCAAATATATGTCCTAAATGTACTTCATATGTCATATGCTGTCAGTGATGGGGGTAGCCTAATGGTTAAAGCGTTGGCTCGTCATGCCAAAGACCCGGGTTCGAATCCCCACATGGGCACAATGTGTTAAGCCCATTTCTGGTGTTCCCCGCCGATGTTGCTGGAATATTGCTAAAAGCAGCATAAAACCAAACTCAGTCAGTCAGTCAGTCATATCCTGTCAAACCCGTGAAGGTCCGGGAATATTGGCCTTCAGTAACCCATGCTTATCGTGAGAGGCGACTGACAAATGTCATCGTATCCCCATTGCGCAGATCGATGCTCATGTTGTTGATCACTGGATTGTCTGGTCCAGACTTTATTATTTACAGACCGCCGCCATGTAGCTGGAATATTGCTGATTGAAGCGTAACACTAAACTCACTCACTAACTCATGCTGTCAAAGAGATAAGACTCCTTCTCATGAGTCTCTTGAGTGGGTGGGGTAGCCAAGTGGTTAAAGCGATCGCTAGTCATGCTGAAGATGTGTGAAGCCCATTTCTGGTGTCCCCCCGCCGTGATATGGCTGGAATATTGCTAAAAGTGGCGTTAAACAATACTCACTCACTCACTCATTCACTCTAATGAGTCTCATGTTCCCTGATGCAGAATATTACCCAGTTAAGTGGTAATTACGCAGACAGAACCTAAATTAGAAATAAATCATATCTATGCAGCATTTAATTCAAATGTTCAGGAAATAAGTTTTTATGGAGATTTGTGATAAACTGACAGGTGAGGTGTTTTACGCTGAATGAAAATTTATCAGGGTGCGGTTAACAGTGTGTGGAAACTGTGGTAGAAATTGAGCAAAACACTAATGCTGTCATAACCCTCCAGTATATTACGCCAATATATCCACAAAGCTAGGTCGATACAGCATTATCCTATGGACACTGCTTATGTGTTCTGGATGACGACGCTGGTATATATTTGTTATGAAGTAATGGTCTAGTGAGTTTAGTTTGTACAGGCACTGCTTCAAATCAATAATTTGGATGTAGCTTGATGAGGTAAAGTCAATATATTTCATGGAAGATTTTTCACAATTACTTGCAACCAACACTCCTCTGGTAACCATTTGCATAATCATGTATGGACAGTGCACTTCAGTCATCATGCTTTTGAATGCATTGTGATTGCAATCCTGAGTGAAGACACTGATACAGCAGTAATATTGCTGATTGGTGTGATAAGACTGTGTGATAAGAGTGATACAGCAGTAATATTGCTGATTGGTGTGATGACACTGATACAGCTGTAATAATGCTGGTAGCTGTGTGATAACAGTGATAGCTGTAATATTGCTGATTGCTGTGTGATAACAGTGATACAGCAGTAATATTGCTGATTGCTGTGATGACACTGATACAGCTGTAATATTGCTGTGATAATGTGCTGACACTGATACAGCTGTAATAATGCTGGTAGCTGTGTGATAACAGTGATAGCTGTAATATTGCTGATTGCTGTGTGATAACAGTGATACAGCAGTAATATTGCTGATTGCTGTGATGACACTGATACAGCTGTAATAATGCTGGTAGCTGTGTGATAACAGTGATAGCTGTAATATTGCTGATTGCTGTGTGATAATAGTGATACAGCAGTAATATTGCTGATTGCTGTGATGATACTCATACAACTGTGATAATGCTGATGATAATGTGATAACAGTGATACAGCTGTAATATTGCTGATTGCCATGTGATAACAGTGATACAGCAGTAATATTGCTGATTGCTGTGATGACACTGATACAGCTGTAATAATGCTGGTAGCTGTGTGATAACAGTGATACAGCTGTAATATTGCTGATTGCTGTGTGATAACAGTGATAGAGGGACTGATACAGTTGCAGTGTTGCTGATGTTTGTGTGATGCAGCTATGATATTAGTGATTGTATGATTGTCTTAGGGACTGATACAGCTGTGATATTGCTGATTCTGTGATGGACTGATACAGCTGTGGTATTGCGGATTGCTTGATGACACTTTGATATAGCTGTGATAATGCTGATATCTGTGTTATGACCATGTGATGCAGCTGTGATATCGCTGATAGCTGTGTGATGACACGGTGATGCAGCTGTGATAATGGTGATGTCTGTGTGATAACAGCGATGACATGGTGATGACACGGTGATGCAGCTGTGATAATGGTGATAGCTGTGTGATAACAGTGATACAGCTTTCATATTGCTGATGTCTGTGTGATGACACTGATACAGCTGTGATATCACTGATAGCTGTGATAACAGTGATACAGCTGTGATAATGCTGATGTCTGTGATGACACGGTGAAGCAGCTGTGATATTGGTGATAGCTGTGTGATAACAGTGATACAGCTTTCATATTGCTGATGTCTGTGTGATGACACTGATACAGCTGTGATATCACTGATAGCTGTGATAACAGTGATACAGCTGTGATATTGCTGATGTCTGTGATAACAGTGATACAGCTGTGATATTGCTGATGTCTGTGATAACAGTGATACAGCTGTGATATTGCTGATGTCTGTGTGATAACAGTGATACAGCTTTCATATTGCTGATGTCTGTGTGATGACACGGTGATGCATCTGTGATATTGGTGATTGCATGAGGGACTTACACAGCTGTAATACTGCGTATCAGGAGGGAACTTGAATGTTGCAGTAATATTGATAGGACCATGATGTTGCTGCAGACAGTTATATTTTTAAAAGAAACACTCCAAACATCGCTTACTTCCTAGCTAATCAGATTCATTCCTCAGATTAAACATACATTTGTTAAAAAATGTGACCTCAAGTACTATCAGACAGAAAAATCTTAACCACCATAAGCCCAACCCATACTTGGCTCATGTTACAATGTGTACACAGTGATTGACATATGAAGATCTATTAGAGGATATCCTACATGTAATGCTGATTGTGTGATTGCAGATGGAATCTCCAAGACCCACACACTAGCAGTATGTTTCAAGTACGGGGATATCTTCCTGCTGTCTGGCTATGATGACGTGTGTCCTCGCATCGTGTACACAACACTAACAGGTTTGTCCACATTACGCTTCACAGGTTCTGATACTCCTGTGATTTCATTCTCACAATAACTGCCCATTAGGGAATCACTGACTTTCACCAGTCATGCTTCAATAGTTCAGTTCAATCTCTTTTCTGTGGATGTGTCAATCATGGCTTTTGCCAACTCGGCATATATTGATTAAGTGTACACCTGATAAAAAGATCAGCACTTAATGTTTTCCAGGTGTACTTCCAGGAAGTAGTAAGTACCCAATATGTTGAGTGCCCTCAAATATCTGTCTTACCCTGAATGTAAGGAGAAATAAAACACCGATTTTTTTTATTAATTGATAAAAGTAAGAAACAATTTACAAAAGTAGAATTTTAATGGTTCTCAGTAATCTCTAAAAATAGAGAATTTTGCCATAAAACACTCCATTTAAATTAAAAGGAGCCCCAGTGAGGTCAGATATTCTGTGTAAAATCTAGACTCACTTCATTTAGAGCTTTGGCTTTTACAGTAGTAGTTGAGTGAGTGAGTTTAATGTTATTCTGCTTTTAGAAATATTAGGTAACATTGGGCGGATCAGAGGGGGTTCAGGGGTTCGACCCTCCTCTTGAAAATGACTCAAGACCACATTGAAGATTTTTGCGTTGGAGCCAATGGGGGAACCACACACACACACACACACACAACACACCCCTTCAAAATTCCTGGATCCGCCCATGGGTAATATCATGGCATGGGACAACAGAAATGGGCTTTACACGTTGTACCCATGTGGAGAATCGAACCTGGGTCTTCGGTGTGGTGAGAAAACACTTTAATCACAAGGCTACCTCACTGCCCTGCTTTTACAGTATAGAAGAAAAAACATGGTTCAATCCCTGGGACAGACTAGGTTCTTGGCCATGACATAACATCAAAGATGACAATGGTCTAAAAGAGTTCAACTTCTCTATTAGTTCAATGCAGTACTGATATGATGTTACTGGAACATTTCTTACTGCATGAAACGATATGCATGCTCTTGTCAAGTCATAATTGCCTGTGAGAGAATCTAGTTTTATATGTAAAATTTATAGCTAAGTGTCACATATTGAATCTGGACATGTAAAAATTGAAAATGAGATTCATGAAATTAAGTGTCTGGATGAAGCTGAAACATCACCTTAAACAATTAAGAAGGAAAGCTGATGATTAATTATTTATCTTAAAGGTCACAATCACAACTTTGCAGATTCTGATACCTTTCGGTGTGGATTTACCGAAACAAATCGTCAAAAATGCAAATTCAACTTATAAAGTTGAAAAATAACGCGATGAAAACAAACGCGCGAAATCGGAGTTCAAACGTTTCACTAGTTTCAACAGCTGGGCTGCACTCATAGCACGTGCGCAGTGAAATAGGTTCGCGCAGCTTGGAAGCGGGTTGTCTGGTGAATACTCGGTGAAGGCTTTGGTGTGAGCTATTTTCATAATGTTTTGTTGATATCTCATAGGCGCGAGCTTTTTATATGTTATGACAGTAAATTAACTGTTTAGATAATTTCATTTGTCTATTTCACCACACGTTCTTCTTACCGAGTCACTTTCTCAGTTCGATACTTAAAAGCAATGTCATTATTTAGCTTTGACAGAATTTCTAACTGTGATATAGATATGTCGTTGTCACAGACAAAACTCAATGTCTTGTTTTATTGACACCTGTGTGTCTGCCTGCCTGTCTGCTAATGACAATATTCAATACACAGCTGCTATCACTGACCACATGCAATTTGAACTTAACACCAATCAGGCTATACACCATAAACAAAATGCATTGATTTATGGCCCGAGTTCGGTCTCTGTCACATTATGTAATTACACAGACAGGCAGGTGTGATACTTGAACACATGACATGTTATGATGTCTGTTGATTGCAAAATGTTATACACCAAAAAATGAGCATGTATTTACAAAACCCAACATCTCTACATATACACACAAATGAGCCGTGAGGGCATCTGCAAATGAACCAGCCATTACACTTGAGTGCACACCCACCCGCTCTGACTGGGTTTGGTATCGCGGCTGCTTCGTTTCTTGGAAAGTAAACCCAAGTACACAATATTGCACCTTTGATTTGCGATTGTACGCTTATAATTTTGTTTATATGTTTTTTCATAACCAGCAATGTATATTATATGTCATGAATAAGTGATAATTGTGTTTTAATTATGTTTGATTTTTTGGTTGCATGTGACCTTTAAATAGATGAGTTATTGTTGATTTATATTGAGTGAGCGAGTTTAGTTTTGTGCCGCTTTTAGCAATATTTAGCATTAATGGGTACAACAAGGACGGCTTGGAGTCAGTATAATGTGTCTGAGTGGGGTATTCATGCTTCACTGCGGCATGGTATCTCAGTGGGCTAGCACTATAAAACCAGCTTAAGTCTGGACTAGTACAAGCAGCCGCACATACACATACACACGCATGCGCGTCGTCATATGAGCGAAATATTCTCAAGCACGACGTTAAATCCAATCTCACCTCACCTCAATCTGTCACATTTTACTTCCGGAGCATACCTCGAAGACTTGTCAGTATATCTTGATCAGGCTCTGCACAGGTGTCCAGCCTTAAACTGCTGCCTTTTGCAACTTAGGAACTTTGGAAAGTTTTACTTTTTTTATGGTTTCCATGGCAACAATTTGTACATATATAAGATTGCACACATATCAGTAGGGACAATGAAATTATGCCTTGTGCTTTCTATCTTTTCCCGAATTCCAATCAGTAAATTATTGATGGATAATTCAATAAAGTGGTAACCTGCTTACCCTTACAGGGTTTTGCACAATACAGCAATGTGCATCCAATGCGCACAAATATAAAACACAGACACAGAAAAGTAATTATATTGCATCAAGTTATGTGCGCAATTATACCCAATGCAGCAAATTCTAGAGAAGAAATAAAACTGATTTCATCTTACAGTGCAGTAAACTACACCAGTACACTATGTTGTTCCACCCTACTGAGATGGTTAAAGACACCAGCTAGAAATTTAATTTTATTTGATGTGTTTGACATTTTCTACTTACTACAACGTTGTCTAATGCTCTCTGCAGGTCTCAAGATGGACTGGTCCAACTGTGGGGAGTACCTGGCAGTGGGAGGGTTCATCCGCCTGCCCAACCTCCAGTGCCGCAATGAACTCCACTTCTATACCAAGGAGGGTAAACTGAAGCACTGGGTCACCGTTCCTTCTCAGGTGGGGTTCATTGAGGGGGAAGTAAGTACAACAAGTACACTCTCTATCACAATGGAATGGCAACAGAAGTAAGGCAAACCCAAGCAGTGCCTCTTTTGGTAATGTTATATATTATTTCATATGACAGTATATACATTAATTTGATCTTTAATTCATTGTTCCTAATTAAGTCTAAAGTAATGGGGACCTTGTCATAATGATAATATTGAAAGTTGAAGCTGTAGGGGTTACCTAGGTTTAGGTATTGTAGTTGCTAACACTAAGAAGTGAATGAGTGAGTGTGTGTGGTTTTACGCCGCTTTTAGCAATATTCCAGCAATATCATGTCAGGGGGACACCAGCAATGCGCTTCACACATTGTACCCATGTGGGGAATCGAACCCGGGTCTTTGGCGTGACGAGTGAACGCGCTTTAACCACTAGGCTACCCCACCGTCCCTGTTGACACTAAGGACACCAGGAACCTGTGAATTTTAGGAACAGGAAGTAATTTTTGTGACTAGATGATGATAATTTTATATAACAGAGGTGTGAGCGAGTACGGTCTTGATTTGCTTGTTGCACTGCCCCTGTGTTCTGCAGCTGTAACCCGTGAAGATCTGGGTTAGAATGAACCTTCAGTAACTCATGCTTGTCGTAAGAGGCGACTAACGGGATCGGGTGGTCAGGCTCGCTGTCTTGGTTGACACATGTCATCGGTTCCCAATTGCGTAGATTGATGCTCATGATGTCAATCACTGGATGATCTGGTCCAGACTCGATTATTTACAGAGCGCCGCCATATAGCTGAAATATTGCTGAGTGCAGCGTAAAACTAAACTCACTCACTCACTCTGTAGCTGTAAAGAGATATTCCTACAATTGTTCACATGTCTAATTCCCTAATTCTAGAAAAAACACACCAATATCTTCAACAAATGATATCTACATTCTGATGGATACAGTGTTACTCTTATAAACGATTTATTGCAGATACTATATAACTCTTATAAATATTTTATTGAGGAATAAAGATTTTGGCAATCCACTGTGACAGAAAGTGGTACCATTAGCTCTCTTGACTTTTGCCATTCCACTGTGATAGAGAGTGCCACCAATAGCTCTCTGGATAGAGCTCCTCTGTGATAGAGAACACCTCATATATCTCTGTAGACCATTGCCAGTTTTCTATGTTAGAGACTGCCACCACTAAGTCTCTAGACTGTTGCCAGTCTGTTATCATAGAGATTGCTACCACTAGCTATTTAGACTTGCTAGTATAGTGTGATAGAACCTTTGCATGGTATGAAAACATTAGACAAATCTTTTTGAACTTTATTATAGAAAGACGTAACAGACACATTTTGAAATAATTTCAATATTTGGATTGTAACCACATCTCCCATCCTGTTACTCTATTGTTAGAAACAAATCAGGAAACACAGAACTAATGATTCAAGGTTTACTTCTGTAGTCAGTGAAATATACTGAGGGAAACAAATAAGGGAACATCACATCATGGCAGTGTTCCTTCATTTATTCTCAGATTTCCTCCCACAGCACTATTCAAAGCTGGTGATGAAAACTGGAAAATATTGAAGGAATGCTTGAATTTTCCTGTGTTCCTTTATTTGTTTCTTTCAGTATATGTAACTACATGAAATGTACAGTCCTACAGTGTTTTATGGAATCTTGATATTTCAAACTAACGAATGTAAGTAACTGTTTGGCCCATGTGAATTCCTCCTTATTCATCATATTTGGTTGTTTGGCCTTGTATAACTTGGAGTACAGTCAAATCCCGATGAGTCGAATCGCTGGGGACAAAGGATTAATATTGACTTATCCATGTATTCAAGACATAGGTATGTCTATGAGGGTAGAAAAAAAGATGATCCAGTCCTAATTCTTCTGCCTAAGCATTTGTTTATCTAATAATTTCCATTTCACTAATAGGGGCACTTTATCAGTTCCAGTCTGATTAGCACAGACAGTGATTTCCGTAAAATCACTAATCTGCCTTTTGAACTCACGCGTCAAAGGCGGAAAGGTGTGAGCCGTGCTGGTTTGTTAATTGGATCAGTTTGCTACACCAGTCAACTTTTCATTGACTGACTTCGGCTTATGTATACAAGATTGCTGTTGTTTGAATCTCATGGGACCAACTTTCCTTTTCGAGTCATCGTGTGTATTTATGAGACGAATTCGTGTAACCGGTATTCAAATGATGACAACTATAACAGGGAATGGTCGGGACCAACAGGTACTTCGAGTTATGCATAATATTCGAGACAGCGGCATTCGACTCATCGGGATTTGACTGTATTTGCATAGGTCCCTTTGACAGTAAATTATAAGGCAATTATTTCTTCCTGTCAGTATATATCAGGGATGGCAATTTACCCGTGATACGTAGATTTTATTTCAAATTGATCAGCTCTATGAATCGTCTAAATCCGTTCTGAAACCCTGAAAAGCCCCCATTCAAAGACACAATATTAAGTTTTCAGTTGAAAATAGATTTTTCCCTTGCATCCCTGATATATAAATCTGTCATGAGTTAAGATTAGAGAAATGGTAGTTTTGGAAGTATGTGGTTGCTTCATGTATCTATCTATCCCTCACTCACACAAGATGTCTGATTCTACAGGGTAAACCTCTCACAGCATTAACCTGGGGTCACAACGACAAGCGTCTATTTATAGCAGCAGGATGCCATCTGTATGTCGCCTGGATCAGCAAACAGGTGGCGCCACTTCAGTTCCTCTGTCAGCGGGTCATACAGAAAGTCTGCCGTCAAGAAAAATATGTTGATCGGTTACCACTTCCAACTCGTTTACGTCTTGGTGCTCAAGCTCTTTTCTCTCCTACAATAAAGGTGAGATGATCTCTTTTAAAAATGATTTCCTAATTTCTTTCTTGTTTACAGACAAGTCAGTTCTCAACTGTATTACAAGAGTTGTGATTTTCATTGAAATTGTCTGGATCTTAGCTTAGTGAAGAAAAGTACAGTCCTAAAGAGGATTGATCTAGGATAGATTCTGATGGAAAATAGGTCCCAGTATCTGCACTTGTGGCAAGATCCACCTATTGAGGACAGAGCCAGATCTCAACACTGCCTGTGTGTGATTGTGCTCTGACAGTGTTGGTCATTGTTCATGTTTTTAACACTGCCTGTGTGTGATTGTGCTGTGACAGTGTTGGTAATTGTTCATGTTCTTAACACTGCCTGTGTGTGATTGTGCTGTGACAGTGTTGGTAATTGTTCATGTTCTTAACACTGCCTGTGTGTGATTGTGCTCTGAATGTTACAAACTGTCACTATAATATAATGACAGTTTGTAACATTATTATTAACATATTATCAGGGGTGGAAATAACTTTAAAATTGCTAGTGTACTCTGTTACAGTGGCACATGTAAAATCACTTGCCCTGATACTTTTTCCACTATACCAGCCGTTTTCTTGTTGATTTTTTAAATAAACAACATAATTAATATTGGAAAGTCAACTGGACAACGGTACAGTGTGATGTTCAAATTTGCTTGCCCGACAGAAAAAAACACTGGACTCGGGCATCGGGCAATGGGTAATTTCCACCCCTAATTATATTAACTGAAAGAAATATAATGAAAGCCCAAGAATAGCATTTATGTACCATACCTTTCCATTTTGTTTTTTACAAAATATATTTATGTATGCACATGCAGACAGTCTAAAACTGGAAATTTGATCAATTAAACTACTCACATTAATGTTTATGTGAAATACCATTCATAATTCCATTTTCAAAATGTCTTATCCGTAAAACATATATATTTGATGAGAATGACTGTTGAGATTTGGTAAAATAAAAAAGACTCTTGAGATTCTGTTTGAAAGATTAACAACATTTACATTACAAACATACCTAACATATGTTATATTTGGGATGACACTTTCTTAATAAAGTACAAATTCGAGTACTTTTTATCCCCCGCTGCGCGTTTAGCGCGAATCGGGGGATATAGTATTAGGTTCCGTCCGTCCGTCCGAATTGGAATATCTTAAGAACCGTTTACTAGATTCTTTTCATATTTGGTACCTAGGTTCATCACAGTTTAAGAAAGGTCCAAGTCAGGTTGGTGACCTTGACCCTCATTTCAAGGTCACAAGGGGACTTTAACGTTATTCCTGCATGTTAAGCTATCTCAAAAACTGTTAACTGGATTTTCTTCATATTTGTCACCAAGCTTTGTCTAGGGAAGGCGCAGGGCCCAGTCCATTTTGGTGACCTTCACTTAATTTTCAAGGTCACAGAGACACTTTGAAGATTTCAGCATATTAACTTGCATGTTATGCTTGTCAGCGAGATACCTCAAGAACCATTCACTGAATTTCTTCATATTTGACACAGCATGTTAAATTGCATGTTAAGATAGTCAGCAAGATATCGAAAAAAATATTCACTGGATTTTCTTCATATTTGACACCAAGCTTCATCTAGGGAAGGCCCAGGGCCCAGTCAGTTTTGGTAACCTTCACAAATTTTCAGGGTCACGACGACACTTTGAAGATTTCAGCATGAATAGTCAGCAAGATATTTCAAGAACGGTTCACTGGATTTTCTTCATAGACTTTCAAGACTTCCCTTGAATGTTTTTCAATAAGCAATTTCTTTAGTACTATTTGTGCATATTTCATACACTATGACATTCATGTCAAGGTCAAAGTCTGTCTTGAAAATATGTGTCTGTTTGAACAACTATAGAGCAAGATATCAAGAGAGGTTGACTGGTCATGTTTTTGTTGACATTTAACTTCATCTTAAACTTTCATTACTTTATAAGTTTGATTTGATAATTTGCTGCGGGGGATTATGTCACCTTAGTGACAATGCTTGTTTGAGTTAAGTCCCATCCGGGATTCGAACCCACACCCTCAGAGTCAGGCACCTAATCGCCAGCATACTAAGAAAGAGTAATCCCAAATATAACATGTTACATTTGACCACTTTCTAAAAGGCATTATGTAATCATACAAACATACCTGTCTGGCACCAAACATGAGTCTTCGGCGTGTCAAGGAAACGCTTTAACCACAAGGCTACCCCACCGCCCTTGGAGCAGTCAGGAAGGATATCAACATACGGTCCCTGGCCATAAGTATTCGTGATTTTGGTTATGGCGGCATCATAGTTACTATGGGCAGGAATTAACTAAAAATCGTGTTGCTCCGTAAATAAAGTAAGTCTGACCTTTCATTCTTAGTACTTCACGTAGGCGGCTTTCAATAATGTCGGACAGCGATTTCATATAGTTCATGCACAAGTTGCTCCAGATTTCGTCCATGAGCTGATCTTTTGTTGTTATGTTGGCGGCGACATGCTGCGGCTCTCTTTTAAGACAAAGCAGATATTTTCGATCACATTCAAATCTGGAGATTGTGGGGGCCAAGATGTACCAGTTATGTTGTTTTCCTCCTCGTAGTTCACTACAACACGAGCCCGATGGAGGGGAGCATTGTCGTCCATGAATATGTAGTCTTCATTTCGAAAATGAAATAACTGGCCCAAAATGGTCCTCTAATATATCTACATACTTGGCAGCATTAATATTGCCTTCTACAACGGTAATACTGCCAACACCATGATAAGTAATGCATCCCCAGATCATCAAACTGACCTTTCGGTGTGAGGGGCGGCACATGCACTTGGCCTTGTAAGCTTCATCGCCCTTTCTCCTGACATACACACGCTTATCAGCTCCAATAACCACTTGACTTTCGTCACAAAATATGAAGGTTTTCCAGTTTTGAGCGACAGTCCAAAGTCTCCTTTCTTGACACCACAGACACCATTTCTTTAAGTTGATTTCACGAATCGCGACCTGTTTCTTTGCAACTCATCGTTTGTAACCTTCAAAAGTTAATTTTCTTCTAATCATTCGTTTATTGAAACGATTATCTCTATTTTCATTAAATTTAGTTGTTATATCATTGAGATTGTCACGGTGGTTATTTTTCACACACCTGTTCAAAGATGCCTGATCTCGAACTGTAAATGATTTCTTTCGTCCACTCGGGAGGCGGTTTTCACTGATCCAGTAGCTTGATATTTCTTACAAACACTTTTTACTGTAGACTATGAAATAGTATGTCAGTAATTTTTTAAATTTGCAGATCTTCATTCAACAATTTTATATTAACCTTTTTCTTCTCAGTACTGAACTCTTTTATTTCCGACCCATTTTGCCGATAGCCAATACACTCGGAAGTAGAGAAGCAGACGACAACATAAACACATGTCACGTGATGCTCACATTATGTGCTATTTATAAATTGTAAATGTTTAATGGCTGACGGAACACTGTGCATTGCGAACAGCGCGGTGATTAAAAAGGTGTAGTTAAGCAAATGACGTCCCCATAACCAAAATCATGAATACTTATGGCCAGGGACTGTGGGTATGAACAACTTCTATATTACAATGAGAGCGATGTGGTGACAGTGTTAGAACCTACATCGAAACATCACTCTCACTGTAATAGAGAACTTCATCCTTATCCTTCCATAAACAATACAAGTTAGTGAAGACTGTTGAATGTCAGTATAGAATATTGATATGTTAAGGGGGGGCGGTGGGGTAGCCTAGTGGTTAAAGCGTTGGCTCGTCACGCCAAAGACCCGGGTTCGAATCCCCACATGGGTACAATGTGTGAAGCCCATTTCTGGTGTCCCCCGCCGTGATGTTGCTGGAATATTGCTAAAAGCGGCGTAAAACCAAACTCAGTCAGTCAGTGATATGTTAAGGGGTCAGTATACACACCCAGAGGTTAAAGTGGTTTCCCACCTTGCTGAGAAGCATGTTTGATGGCCACTGTTGATGCCAATATCTGTGTTGATAATGTGGCAGTATTGTCAAGCGTGAATGTGTTTACTCATAAGCTCTCAGTGGTATTAGCAGTTACCTTTGTACCATATTTGGAGTTACACACAAATGAACTAATTACATGCTATTTACCCAACCATTTCATGTGTTTGAAGAACAAGGATCTTAGCCCTTTGCTTCGCTCGGTAGCTGTTCATCTTAAGACGAAAATGTTTAGATGAGCATGTTTTATGTTTGAGGTTAATGGCTTCGATAGTTGAGCTTATACCGCAGAGATTTCTCATCATGTGTCACTTCATCCAGACTTCAAGCAATTTTGACTAACAACACGTTGACTTTTAGCTATTTTATTCCGATCATGAAAGGTTTGAGTGTTTCAAGCTTCCCTAATTCCTGTCGCACCTTTCATCACCTTGGCCCATTTCCTGGGGATTTGAAAAAATTATTCCATGAATACAAATTTCACGATGTTGGAGGTTTTGTTACAGAGTAAGAGACAATTTTCCTGTGATAGAGTGTTACCGTATAAAACATATTTTCATCACCTGCTTTTAGGTGTTCTGTGTGACTGGCTTCTCTTCCCCTTTCTTGTCACCTGTGGGGTGGTGGGGTAGCCTAGTGGTTAAAGAGTTCACTCGTCACGCCGAAGACCCAGGTTCGATTCCCCACATGGGTACAATGTGTGAAACCCATTGCTGTTGTCCCCCGCCGTGATACTTTTGGATTATTGCTATACTCACTCACTCACTCACTCACTCACTCACTCACTCACTCACTCACTCACTACTCACTCACTCACTCACTCACTCACTCACTCACTCACTCACTCACTCACTCACTCACTCACTCACTCACTCACTCACTCACTCACTCACTCACTCACTCACTCACTCGCTCACCTCGGGAGACATGGGATCAGGTTTTTGGTAACAGAAGCAAACATGGTACATGAGGATATGCCACTGACCCTTTACTTTTTAAGAGGTACATTTGTTATGTGTCTAACATGC